ACCACTACCAAACAACCCAAAAATGTCAAATTACATAGCCAAGATTCAAACCACAACCAAACAACCCGTAAATAGAGAACAAGTGCAGCTCCACCCGGTTGGTGATTCTTAATCACATTATAGTTGTTTCCTTCAAAAAATCCTTTAATAGCAAAAATCTGAATATAGGCGTGTCACTTATTTTACTGAAAGTAAGAAAAGAGAATTTTTTCAACGACTCTCTCCTTTCTCACGGTCGACCTCTTTACAAATGGCGAGAAGAATGTTGGATTAAAATGAAATTTGCGCCTTCAGATAATTTGCAAGATGGAGGGATACCTTCTTACAGAATAGGTTACGAAATCTGCATTGAATAACTTCAAGGATTTAAACACTACCGTGATTTAAAATTAACAAATCCTAATTATTCTAAATTACCTGCAATTTAAAATAAACTTACGAGAAAGAAATGTGCTCAAATTAAATTAAACATGTTTATGGTAAAATTAAAATGTTATCTATTAACAAATCTGAAAATTAAAATGCTGCAGAATTAAAGACTTCATCCTAATTAATATTAAAATTAACGTGAATAGTAATTAAGCTACTATGCTTGAGGTTGAAAAGAAGTATGAACACCACATAAGTAATCATTGAATAAAATGCTACTTATCATAAACATTAAATTAATTGCAAATGAAAAAAGAACAACACCTTGCATAAATTTGAAAGATTGAAATTCATTGCATAAAAGGAAATTGTTGAACTGAATACATGAATTAATTTGCCTACTGGAATGATGAAAAACAACCTAATTCTAATGGAATCTGTGCTGAAATTCGAAATCTGGAAGCAGATTGCAGAGAAAATAAAGTCTGAATATTTGCAGATGTTTGAGTAGGGCTGGCCGTCCTTCCTCCTTCCAAAATTTCCTTTTTGTTCTCCTTGTGTCGACAGTAACTTCCACTTTTTGCAATTACTCAATCATAGGTGGTTTCTTGAAGTAGTGGGCACCTCACCTTTTGACTTGATCTAATCTTATTGTAGATTCTGCTACATGTACTCTTATCAGATAGAACCCCCTTTTTAACTGTAATTTTCTCTCATTTTTTAGCTCCCATTATCCCTTTCTGTCTCAAGAAGATAATTACTCCATAAAAAATTATCTTTACCTCTTCTATTTTGCCAAAACAAGTACTGATTTGTCATGGGGCCCAGAATCCAAATCTGATATGGTTCAATCTCTTCCAACCAATAAAAAAATATTTTACACGTGACATTAATTTAAAATTTTGTAATTTATGGTATAAACAATAGTACAATAATTCACAAAATTGTTTAAATTTGTAAAAATTTAATTTTATCTGATTTTATAATTTTACTACAATTTTAAGATTTTACTATTTCTAGTTGACGGGATCCCAATTCTGACTTAAATTTTACGTAAATTATATATTTAAAACCATAAAATTATATAATTTTATTAGTTAAAATACAATTTTGACAACTATATCTGTGGCTGTCCAGATTCCACATGCCCTTACAAAATGGCCCACAGGCTGAACGCCGAAGTGACGTTGAATCCGGAGCCTTTAGAAACATCGTAATCTGTTGACTGCTGCTAGATATGTATATATTTTGTGTTCGGTTGCTTGGAAATATGGTCGAATTTATGGTTTGATCGACGCGGTCTATATCCAATCGTGCAACCATATAGTATTATACTATTACTCCAATGTCACTTAATATCTCGCCCGCACCTTGTGAATTATGTGTTCAAGCTTCTAAATCCTCTTCTTGGATCTTTATGTGCTTAATATGTATTAATTTTTTTTTTAATATAAAAAACCTCACCCTCCCATGTCGTGCCAAGGCAGCCGCAGACAATTTTGACGAAAACTTTCCTTACTAATTAATTAATCATATTAGTCATCCTAAAATGGGTATGATTCAGCTTTTAAGTTTGAATTCGGACGATTAAGTGTAATCTCCGGAGCTGTTTAGATTCTGGAACTCGCCCACGACAGCAAATGCAAGCCTGGAAGGATTCAGATGAATCCCATCCATTGTTTTTCCTTTCTGTCACCGTATATAGTACAGGGGCAACTTGGATTTTTCCAGCAGCTTCTGCTGAAGGAGAAAAATGGCTACAGCTTCTACTGCCCATGTTCGTTCAGTCAGCTTGCCCTTCGAGATTCATCCTCTCTTTCTATGTGTGGAGGAGCAGCTGCAGAGGTTGAGGGCATCGAAGGTGAAATTGGGTGGTCTAAGAGAACTGTACGAGCGCATCGACGATCTCGTTCATCTGCCGCAAACCCAACAAACTCTTTCCAAGAAACGCTGTGAGGTGGTGGAAGATGTCCTGGACGGATCTGTCAGGCTGCTGGACGTCTGCGGCGCCACCAGGGAAGTTTTCTCCCAGATGAAACAGAGTGTTCAGGAACTTGAGTCCTCCCTCAGGAGAAGAAACGGCGGAGAATCCACCGAAATTGGAGCGTATTTGGTGTTCCGGAAGGAGTTGAATAAAGTGATCACCCAGGGTTTGAGGAGTTTACACAGAATGGAGAAGAAATCCCCAGAAGCGGTCTCCAGTTCGGAAATGCTGGATGTGGTTGGGATGATAACAGATGCTGAAAAAATCAGTCTTTCAATCTTTGAGTCCTTGCTTTCTGTTCTTTCTTACCGGAAGTATGTATCAAGGTGTGGTGGCTGGTCTGTTGTTCCGAAGATGATGCTTTCGAAATTTCATGAAGCAGAACCAAATGATGCTAGTGAAGTGCAGAAGATGGATGCAGAATTGCTTGTGCTGAAGTCAAGCAAAGACATTAAACTTGTACAAGTGCAGAAAGTATTGAGGGGATTGAAGGCACTGGAACTAAGCATTCAAAAAACCGAGGAAGAACTGGAATCCGTCTTCAGGAGATTGCTGAAAACCAGAGTTTCCCTTCTCAACATTCTTATAACCACTAATCCATTAAAATTTCAAAGCAATTTTGTTCTGTATTCATGTACATGAAGAAGAATACAAATGTCATGTTATTGATTCATAATGCTTGATTCATAATAATATACAATCAGTGTGCATGATCTTGATCCAAGATCATATAACTAGACCTTAATTTAAACTCGAACATTATGTTCATCATCCACAAGTTATCTGTCTAAGGTTTCTTGGAAATAATCATGAGGCTGGCAAAAATTTATTAATTTGTGTGGCGTTAACAAGTTTAAGGATGTACATAACCATAGCTTAAGAATCTTGACAATGGATGCTTGATTTATAATTTAACTATTAAGAACAATTGATAGTTGATAAAATTATTTATATTTACTATTTAATAAATTAAAATTAATTTATAGATAAATGTTTTTAGATATTATAATTAATTATTTTTATTATTTAATAAATTAAAATTAATTTATAGATAAATGTTTTTAGATATTATAATTAATTATTTAATGAAAAAAAAGCTACGAACAGATAAAATAATAACTAAACTGTGTGACCCTAATA